ACCACCTGCTATCTATAGTCCTCCAAATCAAAAAATGTTGGTGCAGCAATACGAAAGCTTCTTCAACTTATTAAGGTACAAATTCATTGCTGGTGGGGATTTTAACGCCAAACATAACTTATAGGGTATATTGCAATTATTAAAGGCCTACACAAACATCAGTCCTACTTAGACCTTACTTCCGATTCTTATTGATTACTTATCCAAACCAATGTATACAAACGGAACAAACCATTTATATAACAATAGCATTAACTGGGTTCTTAAGGAATTTAAGGAATATGTAGAAGTTAACATAAATTGCAATATACCTCTAAAAAACATCGGAACGAATTGAATTAGCTGTAATGAACTTCACTGATTTAATACAAGAAGCGGATTGGATCGCCACCAAACAAGTGGAAAATGATAGATAAATTTCTATTCTATCCAGCCTTTATATTGCAGAGGATTAAGTTGAAACGTAAAATTAAAAGTATCTGGCAAAGGTACAAAAACACTGTTCAATAAAAGCAGATTAAACGCTATCACAAAAGAAGTAAAGCAATTAATCGGAAACCATTGCAACGCAGAATTGACGATTACATAACAAAACTATCACTTAATAAGGACATGAATTAGCTCTTTCTGGAAAGCTATCAAAAGGTTGAAAAAATCAACCAATGCTCAACCTATTAAGAAGAGAGACTCTAACTGGACAAACGTTTTCGCGAACATCTTCAAGACACATTTACTGAGCATTCCGTCCAAATTATTGCACCAACTACAGTAAAAGAAGCCAAAGAAACCAAACTTATCTGACAAACTCGGGATGAAAAAAAAAACGCTTCGAACTGGTATGATTAATGGAAAGATTCTTAAAGAACACCCATCAAAAGCGATTAGGATGCTCACCATAATCTTTAATGCGGTTCTAAGAATTAAATATTTTCCTGGAAACTGAAAGATAGCTCAAGCCATAATGCTACCAAAACCAAAACAGGATCCTCGCTTACCATCGTCTTATTGACCGATTTCGCTCCTTCCCCTAATGTCTAAACTATTAGAAAAAATAATCCTAACCAGAATGAGAAAGATAATAAACGAAAAAAATCTAATTCCGTTTTACCAGTTTGGCTTCAGAAACAAATGTGCGACGATTGAGCAAGTGCATAGGTTAACAAATAAAATTTATTCTGCACTAGAACAAAAGAAGTACTGTACCGCTATTTTTCTGGACATAAAAAAAAGCCTTCGATAAAGTATGACATGAAGGCTTCTTATTTAAAGTTAGACGAAACTTCTTCACCTTACCATCAACTTTTGAGCTCGTACTTTAAAAATACAACATTTTCCGTTAAGATACGAGACTCATTTTTAGATATCCGTAACGTCGGAGGTGTATCTTAGGGCAGTGTCCTGGGACCAATACTATATACGAGACCTTAATTTTTACTTTTGCTGATACTGCAATACTAGCTACGCACGACGATCAAAAAACAACGCATAACATGTTGCAACAACACCTTTTAAAAACTGAGCAATGATTAAGTGCATGGGAAAAAAAGTAAATCCTGAGAAGTGCAACCACATTACATTTACTTTGAGAAAAGGAACTCTTCTACTT